AACATGGAACTAAAGGAAGAGATTATGAGGCAGGCTCATAAGTCTAAGTTTTTTGTTCACCCAGGGTTGAACAAAATGTATAGAGACCTGAAGAGGTACTATCACTGGATTCGTATGAAGACTGATGTAGCTGAATGGGTGGCAAAGTGTCCACCATGGCAGCTCGTGAAAGCTGAACATCAGGTTCCTAGTGGGTTGTTACAAAGTTTACCCATTCCGGAGTGGAAGTGGGATCACATTACCATGGACTTTGTGACCGGATTTCCTACAACCAGGAACAAGAAGGATGCAGTGTGGGTAGTGGTCTATCGTTTGACCAAGTCAGCTCATTTCCGGGCAATCAAGAAGGGAGATGGAGTTGATGATATTGTGAAGGTGTACTTGGATGAGATAGTACGGCTACATGGAGTACCAGCCAGTATTGTCTCTAATAGAGATCCCAGGTTTACCTCGTACTTCTGGAAAGCTTTCCAAAAAGCTTTGGGGACGAGGGTAAACATGAGTACAGCCTATCACCCGCAGACGGATGGCCAGTCAGAGAGGACGATCCAGACATTAGAAGACATGCTAAGGGCTTGTGTCTTGGACTGAGGGAGTTCCTGGGAAAGACATTTGCCTTTGGTGGAATTTGCCTACAACAATAGCTTTCATACTAGCATTGGGATGTCACCTTATGAAGCATTGTATGGGAGGCCCTGCAGGACACCGTTATGATGGACCCAAGTAAGGGAGCGTTAGTATATTGGGTCCTGAGATTGTAGAGGAGACCATGCAGAAGATCAAGCTGGTCCAAGAGAAGATGAAGGAGGCGCAAGACCGCCAGAAGAGTTATGCGGACCGGAGAAGGAAACATCTTGAGTTTGAGATTGGTGATTGGGTCTATCTTAAGATGATAACCTTCAAGGGCAGGACCATGGTTTCTGGACGAAGGAAACTGGATCCTAGATACTTAGGTCCATTCTGGATCATAGAGAGAGTTGGAGCAGTGGCATACAAGTTGAACTTGCCATCAGAAATGGATGCATTCCACAATGTATTCTATGTGTCTTAACTCATGAAGTGTCTATGCAAACAAGACATTGTATTGCCTGAGATCCCTGCTGATCTTGGTAAGAACCTCACCTTAGAGATAAGGCCGGTTCGAATCATAGATAGAGCAGAAAAGACAACAAGGAAGAAGACAATACCCATGATCAAGGTCGTGTGGGAATACAATGGCAAGGACGTCATTACTTGGGAAACAGAAGAAAAGATGAAGGCTGAATACCCAGAGTGGTATAATCAGTTTGTTTCTGAAGAACACATGCAACAAGGATTCGAGGACGAATCCATCCCAAGTGGGGGAGACTTGTCATGTCCCCGATCTTAGATAGGATCGTCGGGACGGACCATGGTGCGGGGAGATGCACCAGTCAGGTCATATGACCTAACGACAAGCGTATCATGGCCTAAATACATGGTTAAGGGGATCAGGAAGCTGAAACTTAACCAAAACAAGAAGGAAACAAGCATTAGGGAGTTGGACAAGTGTTATGGTAGCTGGACGAGGCCACGGGGAAGCGCAAGCAGCTCGGTATAGCTTAGAAGAAGCTCAGGCAGCTGGGGGAAGCTCAGAGGCAGCTCAGTCAGTGTAGGTCAGCTCCCAGGAGTTGGTGGACTAGCTCACTCAGCTGGTCCAGCTGCCAATCAGCTCAGCTCAGCTAAGTGGAGTGTTGGAGTCTTGGCCGGCTGGGCCGAGGTGGGGCTGTGGCTGGGCCAGGCTGGAGCTCTGATGGGAGTTGGGTCTGGTGGGTCTTGGCAAGTGGGCTGGGGACTCAGAAGGACGTCCTGGGCCTGTGTTTAAAGGCCCACACGCTCAAAAAGAGCAGTTGGGACTGGTGGCATGTGAAAAGGTGTAAATGGGCAGTTTGTGCCTTTTTCCTCAAACAAGTCATGCCTGTTCGTCTCTGGGGATTTTTGCAGACCCTTCTCCTCTAAATATAAGGCCTCTGGACGTGATTAATCATCAGAAACATTTAGGCAAAACTCTACCAAAATCCAGAGACAAAGAAAGAGAGAAAAATCATGTTTGGTGAAGATCTGTGTGAAGGTTGGGTATTTTCTGGTGTGTGTGTTCGTGGGAATCAATTCCAGTGGAGATGGATACCAGACAGAAGGAGAAGGACAAGCAGAAAGAGAAGGATAAGGGTCAGGAATGTGCTAAGAATTATCGCTGCTCTAAGGTTAGTGGTGTGGATCGGTTATACCAAAGGCATGAACCCTTGGTGTGAAAACATGTGGTTTGTGGTCTCTGGAAACTCTGGTTACGCCTATTCCTATTTGTCTACTTATATATATTTCTCTCCTGATGATTCTATGGAAGTTTGGTGATCAGAAGGGCCTTCCCATGGACCAAGCATAAGGCTGGTTCCATAGGAATGCTTCAGGCCAGATTTGGGTTTTCTGGTCCCAAACCACTTTTTACTCAATCAAATGGCTTGAAACTTTGCGGATAGATGTTTTAGAATATTTACGAATTATTGGAAAAGACTAGGCACGATTTGGAGTTGTCTAGGTCGAATTCCATTTTTATTATTTTTGGGCCGGTTTGGATGGTCAGGGTCGAGATCGGTATGATCGAGACCGGTTCTGAGGAATCTGACTTGACCATTGTCTTAGTTGGGATTTTTCATGAATTATCATAGTTTTTTTATAATTTTTAGACCACTTTTGAGTTTGGCCAAAATTGGGCAGAAACATAGCTTTTGGCCAGAACCATGCAATTGTATTAGCCTTGTGTACTAGGTTATCGGACTTATGATTATATGTGATTGTTCTTGTGTGGTTTCAGGTAATGATAAGGACCGTGGCAAGGCCAAGGTGCTGTGAAGACTCAGGCTGGAATGGATGTGTGTTGGTTATGGGGTAGTTTCATGTAGTACTGAACTTATGTTAGCCTATTGTGCAAACTGAATCACATGAATACTTTGTATCACTCTGATTTATATTTATACAATATGTTTTCCCTTATATTATTTGTTTTTATAACTCTGATTGTATGAATCTCAGTTTTGTTAATTTGACTTAGTTAAATAAAGACTTAAAACCGGAATCAAACATAGAAATTTTATAAGTTAAGACACTGATCTGGTTGGGGTTCAATGGACCAGGATCGGGTCTTACATATTGTGTCTCAGGAGAAGCCTGTATACGATCGCTAGCAGGAGCTGTTGCAGCACGTGGTATTATCTTTGCATTCTCAGAGATCGACTCAGAAGCTTCATACCCAAAAACATGTCCCTTTTCCTTGTCAATATCATGAGTAATTTTCATCAGTATAATAGGTGGGTTGGCCTTCTCTGATTCAATGGATTATTGAACCCGGATACGAGCACGACGCTCCGTCTCATTGGAGTGTGATACATATTGTATCGCCATCGCTCTTTCTTTAGGAGGCAGTTCCAGAAAGAGGGGGAAAGCCTGGAGGACCCTCCAGGAGCTATAGCAGTGGACTCCTTCGTGAACTTTTCAACAGGTTTAGGCATGTGTCTTTGGGTTCGCTGCTTAGCGTAGGGACAAGCCGCTTTCTCATGCGTCAAGCGACGACATCCAAAGCATCTCTTATGGATTTTTCCGTATTCATATGCAATAACCACAATTTCCTCTAAGGGCAAGGTGAGGTTCTTCACTTCAAAAGCGGGATTGTCAACCGAGAACAATACCTTTGCTCTTATATACTTTTTTTTTGGGATCTTCCAGGGTCATACGCAATTTCCACCACTGCACCCACTTTTGATGCTAGCATATGCATAGTGTCGATGGTGTAGTGATTGATAAGGATGTTTCTTATCGGATCCAGACCTCAAACTTTGACAAAAAGTCTTTAGGAGGTGAGGGAACCAAACGCTCCAGGAGTAGGGTCTAGCGGTTATACGACCAAGGTCTATCCTTCAGGACAGTAAGCATGTCTTCTTCACGCTTGAATACGAACTGGAACCGATCTCGAGTCAAGGCGATACCTCTGACCCTATCATACAAGCGTCATGCTTGAGGCATGAAGTCAATCATCCTAGCCATGTTTTGAGCATCAGGGTTAAGAAGGCGTCCAATAATACTCAAGGCGTTTTCATCAAACAAATGGAGCTGTGGTTCATCAGGGAGGATGATCGGATCGTCATCAATATCTAGCGACATTGATCTGATAGCAACATGAAGTTTGTCAGCCATTTTTCGGAGGCTTGAGGAACACGACGGAGGAGAGGGGAACTTTTAGGGAGCAGATCTGTAAAGGACCTAGTTTTAGTGCAATCAGCTACACAATATTCAAAGATCACCTTAAAAGAGAGTATATCAAGCAACTGGGATTTTGACCAGAGAGTAGAAAAGGAATGAGGGAGAGGGAGAGTCTAGGAAAGAGTGATGCTCAAAAAAGGCAATGCAAGGGATACGAGATTAAAAACTTAATTAGAAAAAATGTAAGTATGAAAAATACGAAATAACACGCATTAAAGGTGGATATAGGAAAGGAAAGTATCCGGAAATAACCGTAGCTCAGGAAGCCGGTAAAGAGATTCCACTCAAACGGCGAGGGAAAAAATTGGAAAGAAGTAAGGCGATTTCCAGTGGAGAGCAAAAAAAAGAAAAAGAAAAAGTGACTCCAATTCTAGTGATGTTGAAGACTTGAAGTTGAGAAAAAAGGAAAACATGGGATCCTCTAATAGTGGGACACTGGAAAGAAAATTGGGTCAAAAGAATGATTCGAAAATTGTAGGGATGTTTATGTAATTGGTATAATATAAGTAGTTAAACAATAGAAAATTATTTCATGGGTAGTAAAGTTGCAAATTTAACACTTAATCCGTCACCCGGAAATGACCCAATTAACCCCTGAAAGATAGCTTTCACTCATTTCACCAGATTCTTGTCTCGATTTTCCTTGCCTCATCTCTTGTCTCCTCTCTCTCTCTGCACGATCAGATCGCAAAATCAAAGTCGGAAGGAATCCACAGCTTTGATCAAATATGACTCTTGGCTCCGGAGGATCGAGTGTTGTTGGTAAACAATTTCGATTTCTTTCTTCTCTGTTCTCGTTTAGTTTTTACTTTTTCTAGGGCTTTGGAATCCGTATTGGGTTTTATACTTTCGATTCTCTTTCTAGTGTTTCTGGGCTTTTCTTTCTTTCGATCGAAGATGTTCTCATAGGTTTCATCGATCTGTTATTTTCTGATTCTTTGCGCCTTGCTTCCTATGTTGGATTGATCACTGGTAATGTCTTGATGGTGCCCCAATTCTTGAGATGGGTTTTGTTAGTAATGTCTTGATGGTAATGTCTTGATGGTGCCCCATATCTCAAGATCCTGATTGTGTCATGTGTTTGATTGCTTCCAGGACCTTAAAACATTTGATCTTTCTTTGAAATTATTAAATTTTTTATGAATAGTGATCTTGTATGCTTTCATTAGAAAGTTGCTTGTTTTGTGCAATTCTGAATGTTCAGTTTACTTAAATGAATTGTTTTTTTGGCTTATGCGTTTTAATAGTGCCGAGAAACTTCCGGTTGCTGGAGGAGCTTGAACGTGGGGAGAAAGGTATTGGAGATGGAACTGTGAGCTATGGAATGGATGATGGTGATGACATTTACATGCGCTCTTGGACTGGCACTATCATTGGTCCCCACAACGTAGTTATATCTTTCTCCTTGCATTGTTCAATGTTCTTAGTATTTTAATAACCACTGAAGATTTTCTCTCGCCTCCTTAGCTGTTCTAGGCGTTGATTTTATCTCGTCATCCTAAGCTTTTTCCTAGGCGATTGGTACTCTTGTTTATACTATAACCCATATCAATCTTTATACGCAGACTGTTCATGAAGGTAGAATCTATCAGTTGAAGCTCTTTTGTGATAAAGATTACCCGGAGAAACCTCCCACTGTCCGCTTCCATTCACGTGTCAACATGACTTGTGTCAACCATGAAACGGGAGTGGTACGCACCATCGTCTTACTCGTTCCTTTAAATGCTATGTAACTTATGTCTGAATATGCATCTGTCTGTATAGGTGGATCCTAAGAAATTCGGGCTTCTTGCCAACTGGCAAAGGGAGTACACAATGGAGGATATACTGACACAGCTTAAGAAGGAAATGACTTCCTCGCATAACCGTAAGCTTGTTCAACCTCCAGAAGGCACTTGCTTCTAGTATCTTCTTCTCCTTTCCTGAAATATCTTTTGCCCCCTTCTAACACTAAAATATGTATTCTGGGGTAATCCATTGTCGTTCTCAAGCCTCTTTTTTTAAAAGAAAAATATGGTCTATGTGGATGGTGATGATGTTGTTCGATTAATCATCTGAAGTTTCTACGTGTGTTCAAGTTATCAAAAACAGCGTCTTCCCCAATCCATCTGTGTTCAATCTTTTGAGTTTTATTATTGCATACAGAGAGGACTGAGATAAAGGTCCAAAATTTCTTGTAAGCTGTTTTTATGTAGTTGTGTCGTCATTCTTGATTTGCAATCTCTGCCTAACAGTAATCATTTGACATGAAATTTCAGTGTTTGATACTAAAACCTTGTTGGTCGATTCTACACGTGAGGTTTGTTTAATGGGTTAATGTCAAAGGTTTTGCAACTTACTGCTTCTTCTAAGTATTTTGCTATTTTTACTTTTATAATAGATATCATGTAATAGAGATATATTTGAAGTATAGAGAAGTCTAAAAAAAAAAGAAGTATAGGGAAGCCTCTAAATGTATCATGACGACAACGAAATAGATAAATGTATCATGAAGACCAATAAATAGATAAATGAAATGTACAAGCTTTGATAAGTCACATAGGAGGTAAACATGCACTATTGGTACTTTGTACTTTGTTAGAATATGTGAGAGTTGCGTCTAGAGTGATTGATGCAGACCCAAGAGATTTTTTCCTGAGATTTTATCTAGTATGTTTAATTGCTCATTTTCTAATTTTATCTATTTCCATGTAGTCCCTTTCTCAATATCAAAATTGAACTTCCTGATCGAAAGCAATACATAATCATCAGTTTGTGTAAGGGATTAGTACTAACGATTTCATTACGGATACTAATAAAAAGTGTAATAATTATCATTGTGTTATAATTACATGAACACTAAATAGTAATTAGATACTTGGTAACGAATCAAAATTAGAATTTAGTACTAATTTATATGCATGGAAACACTAAATAGTAAATCACAATACAATCATATCAAAAAGTTACTATACATCTTCCCAAACTGCTTTATGAGATTCGCGATAGCATCATGTTTGTGGGTGGCAGAGTAGCAACTCTGCCAACGCAAAGAAAATACGTGAAAGGTGCATTTATACTTTTTCCCCTTCCCATATTTTATTCTTTATCCATTTGTTTTCACACGTTACAACTTTAAACTTGATTGGTACCAAGCTTAAACTATTTATGTTTGGACTCAGACGGCCATATCACAATTTCTAAGTTGGAACTTTCTTGAACCAGACCAATCCAAGTTGTTTAGATATGTTCGTATTTATGCCGGACCATTCAATCGATGGCTTTAACTATTAATATCGTAGCATTAAAGATATCAGATTCGGGAAAGAGAAGTGAAATTTTATTATAAATGTTTAGGAAATGTTTCAGTTGAAGCCAACCGCTACGGAACTTCATTTTTTTTAACATCGAAGTCATATCTTTTGAATCTTTGATAGTTAGTTACTTAGTCGGTTGGCTTGACTGTTCGTTGAGTGCTTTTATATTTCTTCTCTTTTGACTCATTTGTGCTATACTTAAAGTGTGGGATACTTGCACATGCCTTACCTGTATAAAAATTCGTTGTTAGCATTGAAATTTTAATACAGTCGTACTATAATAAGATCTTAAGCATTACGTCAATTTAACACTAAACATTTATCTAAAGGTCTATTGTTTTAACCTTCATTTCAGACTACCACATTAATTTCATAAAACTTAACTCGTATCATTTCACTTAACTAATGTAATGTAAAGAGACATAGCTTAAGTTTGTCATGTTCTACAAGACAATGGAATTTTTTTAGCTGTCAACAGATAATCTTGATTACTACTCTAGGGGGTCTGGTGATAATTTGAGTACTAGCATGTTCAACTTTTATGGTATGGTTACCGAGTAAGTGCAACATCTTTTATATAGCAAAAATGTCGTTTATTTTAAGAACTATTATAATATTCTGATCATTATGGGCATATTTGGTGACGTTAAATTGTTTTGGAGATCGTTTCTGTCATGTTGTTATATCTATCTATATATCAACATCTGAAGGAAAAGTTTGTTCAGACACTCTGACGTTAGCTTTTGACTTTTGCAGACACTAGTTCAGTAAGCAATTATTTCGATCCACTTCCTATAATTTAATGTGACATAGTGCATGTTGCTCATCAGCAGAAATTAAGAGTGCGATCGTCCATCGTCATTGATCTAACTACCTATTCAAGAAACTTAAGAGTGCTGATCGACTTTGATCAAAAAAAAAAAAGAAAAAAGAGGGCTGATCAACAAAGATTCTTCTGAAAATATACTTAATCAAAGTGGTCAATGCAACTAGATGATTAGTAACCACGTCATTTGATCAAAAAAATAAAAATAAAAATAACCACGTCGTGGTAGTTTAGTGCCAGGCGAATTTTGGATTGTTAGACAACTTGGGTTTACTAAGAATTATTCTTAGGTTCACCTAGAGTGAAATTCTAGATTCACCAACTAATAAGATAGTGTTATTTCAGTGTTATTTTATATTGGATATCTTTTTAAAAAAAAAGAAAAATCTTCTTAAATTATATGTGTTTTTAAAATAAAAATACAAAAAATAAATAAAAAATAATCATATTTACAAAAAACAAAAAAACATAAATCTTAAAAAAAAAGTTTTAACACATAAACTCTAAACCCTAAACCCTAATCCTATACCCTAAACCTTGGGTATAATCATAAACCCTTTGCAAAAATCTTAAATATTAAATAAAAAAATTAATACTAACCAATTATACTGTTTTTTATTTATTTTTATCTTTTTATTTTAAAACATAATATAATGTAACAATATTTTGTTTTCATTTTAAAGATATATTAAAAGAATTTTTTAAAACTAATTTTTGTAATTGTTACTGTTTTTATTTTAATTTTATCTTTTTATTTTAAAAACATAATATAATGTTAAAATATTTTTTAAAAATATTTTTATTTAGTTTTTTATAAATATTCTTAGTTTTCTTTATTTTTTTCTATTTTTATTTTAAAAACATAATATAACTTAATAAGATTTTTTTTTCAAAGATATTAAATATGAAATAACACAATCCTATTGGTTGGTAAACCTAAAAGTTCACTATAAGGGGTGAACCCAAGAATAAATCTTTAAATACGCTCTAATATATTTACATACGTAAGTTGCTTCTCTCATTAAAAATTAATCTGAACATTTCCATAGTCAGAATACCTTCAAATTAGTCCAAAAAAGTAGATGATTAATTTTTGTTTTGCCATCAGCTTAGCAAACATATATAAACTCTATGAACCAAACTGGTGGATTTGCGTCCATGTGAACGATAAAGGATGGCTGTTTTCTGGCACTCCGTGCTAGATTATCCGCCAGTGTATTATGTGTTCTTGGTACATAGATGGCCTCTGAGCTGTGGAAACTCTCCTTAAGCTTCTTGATATCTTCCATATAAGCTGCAAAAGCTGACCATTCATCTGGTTCCAAAACCATCTTCACCAGTTGAGAACAATCCGTTGCAAAAGTGATATGAAATTGATATAAGTTTCTCATACTTTCCATTGTCCAAATTAAAGCTTCTAGCTTAGAATGTAAAGGGGAGAGACTGGTCCTAACATTTCTTACCACCATCAGACTTGCAAAACTTTCAAGTGTACTATACCAGCCTTGTCCAGAAAAAGCTTCTTTCTCTTTCCACGATCCATCCGTAAAGCACCATCGTTCTTGCAAAAGTGGTCGTTGAGGTTATATTAGTTGGTCCTCAGCCCAAAGAGCTAAGAGCTGCTTCTGTCTCTGCGACTCTAAGCATGTCCCAGAATTCAGTATCAAAGTTACTAGACGTTTTACTATTTTTGGCTTTCCAAATGTATCACAATATCCATGCAAAGTGATGATTATTCATCTTTGGAACAACTTGCCGAAATAAATGATTCATATTTATGAACAAAGAACCTGCAAAAAAATCAATTTGACCTAATGGAGGGCATTCAAAAAACACATGGTAAATGATTAATTAGTTTATATTTTATAATATACGTATTAGCAAATAAAGCTAATAAAGTCGCTCTTTAAAAAAAGACCTACCCATCATTTCGTGCAAACTCTCCTCCCTTTTTCAAGAGCGTTAAATATCTTTTCCCTCTCTCGCCCATTAATTCCCTAACTCTCATTCTCATCCAACTCCAAAGTAATAAGGGAAATATATAATTTTATGTAGTTTTTATCAACAATCAAACAAATACAAGAAAATGGCAAATAAGGTGAAACTCCCATTTCGAAACAAGACCACTTCATCTTCTTCCTCTTCATGGCCTTCTTGTCATCAAAAAAACCCTAAGAGAACATCTTCCGGAGCTTTCTTCACCGGTAACACACCAAAAAATGTCAACAAAACGGAGCAACCTTCACGCAGCTTCTCCTCCTCCTCCACAGACGACATCATGGAAAATCCACGAGAAATAGAGTGTATAGAGAACGTGATTAGAGGACTAAAACCATCAAAGCGACTCATACTTGAATGTAGAGGAAATTCAAACTCTATACTCGAGGAAGTCACTAAGAGAGAAGAAAAAGAAGAAGACGAAGGCTTCATGCTCTTGTCCTTGGAATCAGACGACCCTTACTCCGATTTCAAGAAATCCATGGAAAATATGGTTGAAGCCTACACGCTTCATCATGATTGGAGAAACCTCGAGAAGCTTCTGTTCTTGTTCTTGAAAGTCAACGTTAAGACAAGCCACAAACACATCTGTGCGGCGTTCGTTGATCTGCTCTTAAACTTAGGGTTGTCTGAAGACGTCGCCCAAGAACCTAGTATCGTCCTCGTCGAGGAATCTTCATCGTCACCGATATCATTTTACACGTCCTATGATGATACCTCGTCAACCTCTGTACCGGAGAATTCGATAGGCGAGAACGAGAAGAGTAGGGACGTTGTTTGTAGTTTATTGTCCTTGTTTGAGATGGAGGCGAAGATTTAAAGACAATGTTGATTAATGCATGGTGTAAAATATAAATATAGTTTTCTATTTTGTTTTTGGTTGGGCCGAGATGATATTGTTCGATTAACCTGAAAGAAAATGAAACTTGAGAAATAAGTTAAAAACCTAATCCTACCAAGTTATGGAAATTAGGATTCATAATATGTGTTTAGGAGTTATCTAAATATATTAATTAATATGATTAGGAAATATTAATCTTTATATAAGGAGATCTCAAGTTGTGACATGACTTATGAGTTTTGTGAGAAAATATGAATTGTGTGAGTGATTGAGAGTGTTGGGATCAGAATCGATCACGACGGAATCAATGTCCGAAAGTTCCTGAAAAACCAACTCCGGTCAACCTTGTCGGGTTTAAAAACATTTATCTCAAAATTAACGGCTACGATTACCATCTTACGAATTCTCTGTGGAAAACTTCTCAAACAAGAATTTCCGAAAGGATCAATACGAAAAGAGATAGGTCAAAACTCGAGAACCGAATCGTCCCGGCCAAGATCAGCCCGCACATAGGTGAAATGGACTGAGGCCGATGTCACCTCGCCCATGGGCGTGGTGAACCATCACCAAGGTCACCTCGCCCATGGGCGAGGTGAAAACGGCACCAAGGTCACTGCGCCCATGGGTGAGGTGAACCGGCATCGATGTCACCTCGCCCATGGGCGAGGTGAAACAACACCAAGGTCACCTCGCCCATGGGCGAGGTGAACCAATACCAATGTCACCTCGCCCATGGGCGAGGTGAACCAGCACCGGTGTCACCTCGCCCATGGGCGAGGCGAATCAGTACCAATGTCACCTCGCCCATGGGCGAGGTGAACCGAGGCAAAGTTCATCTCGCCCACATGCGAGGATAGCCTGATCCCGATCCTATTAACCATGTGATCTCGTCTTAAGTTCCCGTAACACGATCCTAGGGTCCTTGGACACGGCACCTCCGTCTCGGATTATCGAAGAAAGACTTCGGAAAGATCATAAAGACTTGGTTGTAGAGATGATCCCTTCCAAATCGTATAAAACGGCTACGGTTAACTTAAACACCATCAGCCTTAACTATACGAGGAATTGGGATCCTCTCGGAAAGATCAATGCCACGTCTAAGTTTACTTCCCAGAAAAATCGTAAAAACGTCTAGAGTCCCAGAACGGCTCAAGGAGGCCTGGTTCACGGGCCAACGTCCCACTTACGATTTTAAAAGGATTGAGCCCCAAGGCTGGTATGGCGGTCTATTTTATTTGCAGGAAAAGATAAATGTCAAGTTTCCAAAGATAAACATGAAGTTTCCGAAGATAAATGTAAAGTTTCCGAGGATAATCATGAAGGATGACGAAAATATAAAAGCCCGATTCGGCCCAAGAGGAAGAGTAAACCGCCCTAGGGGGAGTATATAAGGGGAAGAGTAAACCGCCCTAGGATGACGAAAATGGAAAAGTCTGATTTATGTTTAGACATCTTTAGGATCCATATTGCATTCATAAGTCTTTCTTAGGTGTTGGAGTGTCCTACCGAGCTTTTGGAGGTGTTTAGAGACATTTGTGATGCGAAAGGGTGAAAGATGAACATGGATGGAGACCTTAAAGATATCTTTTGAAGCTCATCTTTTGGGAAGACATGGGTAAAATTCGGAATTTTGAACACTGGGAAATCGGAAGTTCACTGTTTAGCCTTGAAGTTAAGTATTGGACTAAATATTTAGGTCAGTTGCTTGGGACCCTGGGGTATGTCCTGTATTTTAAGGATAAGCATTCGAAACCCTGAGGTTTTCTGAGTAGATACTACGGTGCTTGACATGGACCCAGAGGTGAATAGATAAGAGACGTAAAATTTGGGATTTTGAACATCGGGGACCCTGGGGTCGGACTCTGAGGCCGTTTTGAGACCGTATTATGCCTCTCTTAGGTAGGCCACTACTGATCTTAAGTGAGAATGTAAAATTTGGGATTTTAAACATTCGGGGACCCTGGGGTCGGACCCTGAGGCCGTTTTGAGACCGTATTCTGCCTCCCTTAGGTAAGCCACTACCGATCTTAAGTGAGAATGTAAAATTCGGGATTTTGAACATTCGGGGCCTAGAGGCTTGTTATTATTGGGATCGTATTCTGCCCCCTTAGGTGGGCCACTACCGATCTTTAGTGAGAATGTAAAATTCGGGATTTTGAACATTCGGGGCCCGGAGGCTTGTTTTTATTAGGATCGTATTCTGCCCCCCCCCCCTTAGGTGGGCCACTACCGATCTTTATGTAAAAATGTAAAATTTGGAATTTTGAACATTTGGGACCCGAAGGCCCGTTGTCATCGAAATCGTATTCTGCCTCCCTTTGGTAGGCCACTACCGATCTCGGGTAAGGATTCACATTCTACCGCTTGGGCCACTATCGAGATCCTGTAATGCTGCACTCTGTTTTCTGCAGAAAGCCACTCTTAGTCTGGGGTGGGTCTACTGGGAAGTATTGAGCCACCTACCAGACTTGCTGCTTTCCACGTCTGGATAAGCAGGATAGAAGTGCTCCTGGGGTTTTGTGCACCGTCTGCTCCCTGAAACCATGGGGCTGATCTCAGTACTCAGCAGTTATACGTCATGCCCCCTGCATCTCGTTTAGCTCGGGGCGTGTTTGATGCACTAGTACATGTGGCCCCCTTGTAGATTACGCCTCGAGGCCTCTACGCAGGGGCTGAGGTATTGTCGACATTGTATTAGGGTTGATCAAGCCCATTCCAAGTCGCATACCCAAGTATTTTTATATGTGAAACGAGTCACGTAGATGTGAAGTTTGCTGGGACCGAGGTGCCCCTTGGGGCCTGGTCTCGCTTGGTGGTTTTATATGTGAAACATGTCACGTAGATGTAGGGTTCACCAGGATCGAAGTGCCCATTGGGGTCTGATCCAGCTAGTATCCCCTTTTAAGTTCAGTGGAATTCATGTGGCTCCTTTAGTCGAAACTAAAATATGTTATATAGGCTTAGTTCGCAGACGTTTTTAGCATACATAAGAGCAGGAAACCAGTGTACTTAAAATATATAGATAGCTAGGTATCTGTAGAAAACCCGATTCGGAGATCTAATTAGAAATGGTAGAACTTGAGGTGCAGGGCGTTCCAGCAGTTAGGTTGGACCTTTCTTTTGCTGTCTTGCAGCTTGTAGGCTCCTGCTCCCTGTCCTCCAATTATTTTGTAGGGGCCTTCCCAACCTGGGGCCAGCTTCCCTGCCGATTTGTCTTTAGTGTGGTCACATACTCGGCGCAGGACCCAGTCTCCTTGTTGGAAGGTTTTGGTCCTGATTTTCTTGTTGTAGCTCCTGGGCACCTTCTGCTGATAGGAAATGTTCCTTAGGCGAGCAGCCTCTCTTTTTTTGTCGGGTAGATTCAGGCTTAGGGTCAACAATTCATTGTCTTCCTCCTGGGAGATGGGTCCGGAAACAGTTGTTTTGACGTGTACCTCAGTGGGTATCACGGATTCCATGCCGTAGACCAGTGAGAATGGAGTCTCTTGTGTGGCTGTTTTCGGAGATTCTCTGAAGTCGTGGCTCGTGAACTGGGGCCCGTTGTTTGTGACAAATCTCTTGGGGCGTGCCGAAGCGGGTTATCACGTTTGTCCATATGAACTTCTTTATTTTATCTGTAGTAATCGTGGCTAGGGCCTCGGCCTCTACCCATTTTGTAAAGTGGTCAGTTATAACGAGGAGGAATACCTTTTGCCCCCGTGCCATCGGGAATTTTCCGACGATGTCCATGCCCCATTTTCGGAAGGGCAAGGGAGAGCTTAGAGACTTCAGGTTTTCCGGAGGGAGGTTGGAGGCATTGATCACAGGACCAGCTTTTCTGAGGGCGTCATTGGGCATCGTGGGCCAATAGTAGCCTGTTCTTCTAGCTTTGAGCACTAGGCTTCGGCAATTAGAGTGGGAGCCGCATTCTCCTTCATGGAGCTCTTCTAGGATCCGGGCCGCCTCCCTAGGGGTGAGACATCGTAGGTATGGTCCTGCAAAGGACCTTCGGTATAATTTCCCTTCGGTGGTGCAGTATCTTGTTGCTTGCCTTTTTATCTTTTGGCCTTCGCTTCGATCCTCTGGGAGGAGGTCGCGTACGAGGTAGTCGATTATAGGGGTCATCCAGGTTTCTCCTTCGTCGATGAAGGAGATTTCTTCGGGATCCCCTTTTTCGGTCTGTAGCCGGCCATTGGAGTATTAGCAGGGGAATATTCATCTAACTAGTGGTTTCTTGGGTGGACCCTAGATTAGTCAGAGCGTCGACCTTCGAGTTTTGTTCTCCGGAAACTTGGGTAAGCTTACAGCTCTGGAATCTTGTTGGTGTCAAAAACCGTAATCTCGAAATCAACGTCTGCGATAGCTTCTGTAAAAGATGGAGTCATTATTTTCAGTAAAATCATTTTATAAAATGATTTTCACCGTTTTATAAAACTCGAGAATCGCTTTATAAAACTCGAGAATCGTTTTATAAAACTCGAGAATCGTTTTATAAAACTCGAAAATCGTTTTATAAA